ATAGTGCCTGTCTTGGCTTGCCGGACGAGTGCTCGGCTATGCACGCGGGTGAAGGCCGGTGGGTTGAGAGTATGCAGATGACACCGTGGGCGAGGTTGGGAGGACAACCCACACCATCACTGGATACATGGGGGTGTGTGGGGCCCTGGTGGTGGGGGGGGGGGAAGGACCCGTTACCGTCAAGCCTCGTCCACACCGACGCCCGTCTCCCCAAACTCTCGATTTTTATTCAAGTAATTATTGGATTTCTACGCGTCCTAAAAGAACACAACAGTTCTCTGGTCCGGTGATGAAATCTGGGAGATGACAAATCTTTCCCCAAATTACGGCGCGTTTGTATTAAAGTAAAAGTTTGGCACAAATTGTAGTTTATTTCACAACGAACTGTGAATTGTTGGTGTTTTTGAGTTGATATGGACTATGTGGCCTACATATTGAAATTGCCCGGCATCTGCAACACGCAAAGTTCCATGTAACTGATGAGAATCAGTCTCCGTGGTGTAGTGGTAAGACACTCGCCTGGCGTTCCGCGAGCGCTATGTCATGGGTTCGTATCCTGGCCGGGGAGGATTTACTGGGCGCAAATCCTTAACTGTAGCCTCTGTTTAACTCAACAGTAAAATGTGTACTTGGTTGTAACAACGATTCTTCGCGGCGGGGATCGTATTCCAGGGACCTGCCCGAAACGCTACGCGTACTAGTGGCTGTACAAGAATGTAACAACTCTTGTATATATCTCAAAAAAAAAAAAAAAAGAATCTTGGGGGGGAGGGGGGAGAAAAAGTCTATGGGAAATGTAAGGGCCGGAGATGAGTGAGGGGAAGGTGCAGTGTCCCAGGAGGGACTGGTGTTGTCCCTAAGGGAAGGGAAGGGAAGGGAAGGGGGGAGAAGAGAGGTGGTGAGTAAGGGGAGGGTGCAGTGTTCCCAGGACGCATATGTAATGAGAGTGACAGTGTTTACTGCTGGCTGCCCCGAGCCTCGACCCCACCGCGCTCCCTCAGCAACCTCACTTCTTTCCCCACCAGACATCATCTCTCACGCACTTCCTCTATATCCATACACCACTTCCTTCCTATATTCATACACGCGTTTCCGCTATATGAACCACTTGGGGTGGACGGTAGAGCGACGGTCTCGCTACATGCAAGTTGGCGTTCAATCCTCGACCGTCCAAGTGGTTGGGCGCTATTCCATCCCCCCGTCCCATCCTAAATCCTTATCCTGACTTCTTCCAAGTGCTTATTGCGTAATGGCTCGGCGCTTTACCCACATAATTCCTCCTCCTCCTTCCTCTATATTTCATACACACGCTTCCTATATTCATACACACGCTTCCTTCCTATTTTCATACACACGCTTCCTTCCTATATTCATACACACGCTTCCTTCCTATTTTCTTACACACGCTTCCTTCATATATTCATACACTACTTTACTCAATCTACATTAATTTTTTTTAATTAATTATTTTCTTCTAAATTGACAGGAATACGAAGCTCTTGAGAATGGTTTGAAATATATATGAATAAAACGTTAAGTTTTACGAGGCTTGTCATCCGTGTCCGCCTCGCCTGAGTAAAATTCAGCTGTTTATAAATTCAATGTTTGTTTCGTTAACGTTATCTTGTTGCAGCTGTGCTCTTTATTATTCACGTCCACTGATAAGATTATGTTCATAATTGGCTGACATCCGATTTGTTAACTATTAATTTTCTTAGGCCATTCTATCTAGCATTATAGATAAGCCTGCGCCACGGTCCGAGTGGTTTCCAGGTAACTTTTTTTTTTTTTTTTTTTTTGAGATATATACAAGAGTTGTTACATTCTTGTACAGCCACTAGTACGCGTAGCGTTTCGGGCAGGTCCTTAATCCTATGGTCCCTGGAATACGATCCCCCGCCGCGAAGAATCGTTTTTTCATCCAAGTACACATTTAACTGTTGCGTTAAACAGAGGCTACAGTTAAGGAATTGCGCCCAGTAAATCCTCCCCGGCCAGGATACGAACCCATGACATAGCGCTCGCGGAACGCCAGGCGAGTGTCTTACCACTACACCACGGAGACTGCTGGCCGAGTTATATAGTGTTTCATCAATATAGCAGCACCGCATGAACCCGAGTAGCGTAGCAGCCTGGCCCAGTACCCCGACAACACTCCCTGGGTCGTATCCGACCCGCACAGCGGCTGTGCTTGTTTACTCAGGTAATATAATCATCACACGAGTATACCCACATAGCGTAGCGCCAGATACACATATATCACAAGTTCATGCTGGTTCAAGAGCAGTCTGTAGAGCTGTATTTGGAACCCAATGGTTCCAAATATATCGCGGGTCTGCTGCGTTACCGAGTTCGGAACTTTATGTTAGTCGCAGCGGAGTACAATTGGCCTGTATCGTGTGCAATACAAATTTCCTCATTATTGCTCACGAATATAACGACTTTAACCGTATTTCAGGCTTAGAAATAATTATGACAAAGACACTGTTTTGTGTACATAAAACGAACAGATTCAAATTCACATACACAAGAAAAATGTACTAAGAAAATATCCGTTTGTGTTAACATTCCGTCTTTCGGTCTCACCAATCCAGTATGGTTCGCACCAATCCAGTATGGTTCGCACCAATCCAGTACGGTTCGCACCAATCCAGTACGGTTCGCACCAATCCAGTATGGTTCGCACCAATCCAGTATGGTTCGCACCAATCCAGTATGGTTCGCACCAATCCAGTATGGTTCGCACCAATCCAGTATGGTTCGCACCAATCCAGTATGGTTCGCACCAATCCAGTACGGTTCGCACCAATCCAGTATGGTTCGCACCAATCCAGTATGGTTCACACCAATCCAGTATGGTTCGCACCAATCCAGTATGGTTCGCACCAATCCAGTATGGTTCGCACCAATCCAGTATGGTTCACACCAATCCAGTATGGTTCTCACTAATCCAGTATGGTTCGCACCAATCCAGTATGGTTCGCACCAATCCAGTATGGTTCGCACCAATCCAGTATGGTTCGCACCAATCGCACCAATCCAGTATGGTTCGCACCAATCCAGTATGGTTCGCACCAATCCAGTATGGTTCGCACCAATCCAGTATGGTTCGCACCAATCCAATATGGTTCCCACTAATCCAGTATGGTTCGCACCAATCCAGTACGGTTCTCACTAATGCAGTACGGTTCGCACCAATCCAGTACGGTTCGCACCAATCCAATATGGTTCTCACTAATGCAGTACGGTTCGCACCAATCCAGTACGGTTCGCACCAATCCAATATGGTTCTCACTAATGCAGTACGGTTCGCACCAATCCAGTATGGTTCGCACCAATCCAGTATGGTTCGCACCAATCCAGTATGGTTCCCACTAATCCAGTACGGTTCGCACCAATCCAGTACGGTTCGCACCAATCCAGTACGGTTCGCACCAATCCAATATGGTTCTGGTTCGCACCAATCCAGTATGGTTCGCACTAATGCAGTACGGTTCGCACCAATCCAGTACGGTTCGCACCAATCCAATATGGTTCGCACCAATCCAGTATGGTTCGCACCAATCCAGTATGGTTCACACCAATCCAGTATGGTTCGCACCAATCCAGTATGGTTCACACCAATCCAGTACGGTTCCCACCAATCCAGTATGGTTCACACCAATCCAGTATGGTTCACACCAATCCAGTATGGTTCGCACCAATCCAGTATGGTTCACACCAATCCAGTATGGTTCGCACCAATCCAGTACGGTTCGCACCAATCCAGTATGGTTCGCACCAATCCAGTATGGTTCGCAAATTTCACCGGCGACTGTTTACTTTGAGGATTTTGTCTGGCTATAATTAGCAAGAGGGGGCTCCGTTTACAGCCCCAATTCATTACCAAGGGCCTTTCCCTTCCCCTTGAGCTATAGTCGCGAAGTACATGCAAATTTTGTTCTCTCTGAATACCATCTTTTGTTTCTGTAACAATCTTCACCGTCCCGGATTACGGAACTCTTGGCGGCCCGAAGGTCGCCACCCTCCCTGTTAGTTACGGACTGCACAGGACCTTACGGTCGGGTACAGAAGGGCCCTTCTAACCTAACGTAAGAGCGGCGGGTAGAGACCATAAACCACATCCGTGAAGCTGGCCTGAAAGTAGCGGCCTTGGCAGGACTGTTAGACTTGCTTGAGTGAAGAATTTGGCTGGGTAGTTGATGCCTCTTTGCTTATCTCTCTCCCACCGCCCCCAGCCTCGCTCACCCACCTCTGGGTGTACTACCTGCCGCAGCTCCTACCTGCATACTAAACCCATTCCAAATTCTCACTGAACACTTAATATTCTGCATAACCTACTAGTCTTATATATTTGACTCGTCCAAAACTACATCGTATGAAGACTTGTAGAACACCAAACGCTCACCGAAGCCAACGTGCGTCAATTTTGGAAACTGTAAAGAACCTGCTAGTAGACACTATACCAAGCCATTCAGCAAAGGTACATATACAGAGGATTACATTGCCGGCAAAGAATAACTAAATTATATATATCGTCTAAATTAGACCAGTGCTGAATTAGGCGTCACCAATACTCAAAAAGAAGAGATCATTACGAGACGTATGTGAGGCGTTAAGAGCTAGAGGTCAGTCCCCCATGAACATACGAGTTCAAACACAAGTTATTTTGGGAAGGAGATGAATGGGAGCCGACCTCCGTCACCTAAAACATTCAAAACAGCTAATTATATGTCAACAAATTGAGAGTTTGGAAGAGTTGCTAGGCTGCCAGAGGGGCGCGTCCACGGGGCTCGGTGGGGTTTCACGTTACCTTTAATACCTTTAAATAAACTAATTTTCAATCCACAAATAATTGTTGTAGTTATGTCACTGACTTCACAAATCATGTTTGTTAATGGTAAAATGTTTATGTTCTATGGTCTATTCCATAATGTAGGGGAATATTCTGAATTTATACAAGATTTTTTGCATATACATGTCATCGTGCGCTTTTCCGATTTTTCTTAATTTTTAAACGTTTAATTTTTTTTTATTAAAATAGAGACATTAAATACGTATGACACAATTGTTTTTAATTTGAACAAAAACTAACTTGGAGACGTAAATATACTTATTATTGTTTAATATTAGCAAACGTAACTAACAGGTAATATGCTCCAGGTAACTTATGCAAAGTATCACCTATATTGGACAGTAACTCATGCAATCACTGAAATATAATTACCGTAAATATTCACAAAGTACCATTAATAAATCAGCCCATCTTCCTGATTTAGTAGTTCTTATAGTTACGATAAGGACCATAATTTATATGCCGACGTACAACTAAATTAGAACATAGAAATCCGAACTATTGACTTGGAAAAAACTAATTTTACTTGTGCTCCTTTGACAAACAAAACTAACCTAACCTTCCCTAGGCCCTTATACACGATATCTGAGGCCTAATATAGTACATATGTGTACTATACTAGGCCTAGGAATATTTGAGTTTGTGTTTTACCATCATTTATTTTAAAAGAATTCATTACTAATCAGTATACTACTATCAAAAAACTAAGAACGTACGAATTCTGACTATTAACGATCGTCACAATAGTTACTATCTAAACAGTAGGATGGGTTGCTATTAAAAACTGTCTATTATGCCCGAAACGCTTTGCGTAATAGTGGCTTTAGGCATTGTATGTACTAGCTATACCTATAAGTCAAACAATCCTTGTAAATATTTATTGTATGTATGTACCTTACCTAAATAAAATTGTATTGTATTGTATTGTATTGTATTGTATTAGGTTTGCCGTTTCTTGCCTATTAGGCCAAAGTGTAAGGTTGTGCTTAAACACCACAATGCACTCACAACCAGCCGTCTCCTCTACTCCGTTAAGGCACGAAAAAGATCTTGAACTTCAAGTGGAATAACACACCAGGTACAGACGACCAGGAGCCAGACATAACACACCAGGTACAGACGACCAGGAGCCAGACATAACACACCAGGTACAGTCGACCAGGAGCCAGACATAACACACCAGGTACAGACGACCAGGAGCCAGACATAACACACCAGGTACAGACGACCAGGAGCCAGACATAACACACCAGGTACAGACGACCAGGAGCCAGACATAACACACCAGGTACAGACGACCAGGAGCCAGACATAACACACCAGGTACAGACGACCAGGAGCCAGACATAACACACCAGGTACAGACGACCAGGAGCCAGACATAACACACCAGGTACAGACGACCAGGAGCCAGACATAACACACCAGGTACAGACGACCAGGAGCCAGACATAACACACCAGGTACAGTCGACCAGGAGCCAGACATAACACACCAGGTACAGTCGACCAGGAGCCAGACATAACACACCAGGTACAGACGACCAGGAGCCAGACATAACACACCAGGTACAGACGACCAGTAGCCAGACATAACACACCAGGTACAGTCGACCAGGAGCCAGACATAACACACCAGGTACAGACGACCAGGAGCCAGACATAACACACCAGGTACAGACGACCAGGAGCCAGACATAACACACCAGATACAGACGACCAGGAGCCAGACATAACACACCAGGTACAGACGACCAGGAGCCAGACATAACACACCAGGTACAGTCGACCAGGAGCCAGACATAACACACCAGGTACAGTCGACCAGGAGCCAGACATAACACACCAGGTACAGTCGACCAGGAGCCAGACATAACACACCAGGTACAGACGACCAGGAGCCAGACATAACACACCAGGTACAGTCGACCAGGAGCCAGACATAACACACCAGGTACAGTCGACCAGGAGCCAGACATAACACTAGGTACAGTCGACCAGGAGCCAGACATAACACACCAGGTACAGTCGACCAGGAGCCAGACATAACACACCAGGTACAGTCGACCAGGAGCCAGACATAACACACCAGGTACAGTCGACCAGGAGCCAGACATAACACACCAGGTACAGTCGACCAGGAGCCAGACATAACACACCAGGTACAGTCGACCAGGAGCCAGACATAACACACCAGGTACAGACGACCAGGAGCCAGACATAACACACCAGGTACAGACGACCAGGAGCCAGACATAACACACCAGGTACAGACGACCAGGAGCCAGACATAACACACCAGGTACAGTCGACCAGGAGCCAGACATAACACACCAGGTACAGACGACCAGGAGCCAGACATAACACACCAGGTACAGACGACCAGGAGCCAGACATAACACACCAGATACAGACGACCAGGAGCCAGACATAACACACCAGGTACAGACGACCAGGAGCCAGACATAACACACCAGGTACAGACGACCAGGAGCCAGACATAACACACCAGGTACAGTCGACCAGGAGCCAGACATAACACACCAGGTACAGTCGACCAGGAGCCAGACATAACACACCAGGTTCAGACGACCAGGAGCCAGACATAACACACCAGGTACAGTCGACCAGGAGCCAGACATAACACACCAGGTACAGTCGACCAGGAGCCAGACATAACACACCAGGTACAGTCGACCAGGAGCCAGACATAACACACCAGGTACACACGGGTAAGCGCTCATGTATTCACGTCAACATCCCTGCCCTACACCCCCCACTGTTCAATTACAATTGAACAGTGATTCAATTGTAATTGATTGTAATTGTAATTGTAATTACAGGTACAATTAATCAGTAAAGACAAACTGAAATACTACGAAGTTCAGAGATGATGACGATGAGAATTGGTTTTGTCGGGGGGACAGTAAGACACACACACACACACACACACACACACACACACACACACACACACACACACACACACACACACACACATCAGGGAATGACGTTTTACATTATAGAAAGACAAAAATAAAAGTAACATTAAAATCTTGCAGCGTTTAATTATTAAGATATTGCAAAATCAGGCGGGCGGGGGGTACACTGGCACAGTGCCATGAGATACTCGATTCATTTATGGCAACTCCAACCCGACTATGTTGCGCATGCACCCATCCTCAGACAGACAGATATTCTAATTTATATAGATATAGATACTTGAGCGGGTACCCGACGTTGGTCGGCTGAGGCCATATCTTCATTACACACTATTATCACTGTAACCATCTTTATTACATAACCAACATTACTATATTCACAATTGCTTCACACTATCTTCACTGTAACTACCTAATTACATATTATCTTCTTTAATGTAATGATGTACACAACCTGGTGAAAGATGTACACTACCTGCTGAATGAAATATTATTATCCACTATAGTGTGGTTGACTGAAAAAAATATATATATCAATATAAATATTCTAATCCCACGCCCATCGCAGCAATCAATCACCTTGACTCATCCTGATCCATAAAATACTGGTTGTTAATTGATGAAAATGTTAAATTTAAATCAACATTGCAAAATACAGACACCCGAGACATTTTAAAATTACTACCATATAATCAACATACAGTTCCTTTCTAACGAGAAGTTATTACTATTACTACAAAATCTGAAATTCTGCTACTGGAGTACAAGGGCTGTGTTGCTGGTGACATATTTGTCCTGTACACTGTGTAGGCTTCATTATAAAGAGTTAAATATTTCCCTTATTTAACATTAGCCATTTAAAAGGTATACGTTTGAGAACCGAGACGCGTATGTCCATCAACGAAACAGTGTGCGTTGATGTATATGAAAACACTATTTAAGGAATGGTGTGCAGTGTTGGACCCCCAGCTCCTCCATATTTGTCAACATGCTTATAGTATTCATCATGAATCTGTGTACAAATAGTGGCATTGTATCGCTCTAGCAGTGCTAGCTGGAATGCCTCACAGGCGCTCTAGCACCTTATCTCAGGACCAACTTGCAGTACAAAGACAAACAATTATCACCTGAGTACCACAGTCGAGCCCACTTAGCAGCCTCCAAGTCTCACGCCTTTTTCATAAACTTAAACTTTTAATTGACCACTTTTACAAGGGCTTGAACTCTTAAGACTATGTAAAATCGTGAACACTAAGAGGTGCTCAGTGAGCGTGTGTGTGTGTGTGTGTGTGTGTGTTAGTACAAACCTTCTACAATCCAGCATTATATGTGCTTCATGCCAGGGGTCACTGGCTGGGCGTGTGTGTGTGTGATCCACTTGTGGCTGCAGGATCTTCTGTGCCAAATTAATGATCAGGCTCATGAAATTTGCTCACATGCTACATAGCTCCGAATTTTGTGTTTAGAGCTTGGTATGTGGCCTAATTTATTTTGAATTTATATAATGTTTGCTAATTTCATTGTCGATGTAACACACAAATTCCTAATGTACATGCCATTGTTTTCTATGAAACTATGTAGTAATGTTTGAACATGACATAGGCTTCACTTTTACACTCGAGGCCAGAGGTAGTTTGTTCAGATGAACCTCATTTTGTATTGTATGGTCTTGTTAAAACTAATTTGAGCCGTGTACTTAAAAGTGTGATTAAGTTTGTCATTTTATTTGCGTAATAATTCAGTGTTGCAAGGGCTCAAGTGTTTGTCCATCTTGCTAGTGTGTTGCTCACACCTTCAGCACTGTGGTTCATGGGTGATATTACAAAACATATAATTTCCATGGTTTGGGGTGTGGGCGACACACACGGTGACAATGGCTTAGTGTCATAATTCTTGCCAGATAAATTAAACATGTTTAAAGATTACAATTGATCACAACCTAGTCGAGCTCACTGTACGTGATCCACATTTGTCTCGTCTACGACACATCACTTGGGCCTGCGTGCCGTATCTCTTTTTATCAAGTCAGTGCTGGCCTACAATATATGGCCAAACACACTGAAATGGCCAAGGCCAGTGCAGCGTTGCCATATGATCATGTGAAGCACCAGTGAGCCGAGGTAGCAACTGGCCTTCACGTAGCCTCGTGAGCGGCCGCTGCAGCACCCTCCGCCACGGTGGGTGGACGCCCACATTAGTACAAAGATTACTTGGGAGTGCCCCAAATAGACAATCCTGCATGACCCTCTATCCTTTCCTATTGAGGGTCGTGGGATTTGTCCTTCCCTACTGCTCCTCTCCAGACATTTAGTAAAAAGTCCACAAGTTAACAGACAAGTGTATGTCAAGGAGAAGGTCAAGCAGCTGCTTTTGTAATGAAAATAAATCGGTATTTTTTGGCTAGAGGGAGATGGTGGGTGGACAGGCCGGAGGCCCAGGGTGAAAGTGGTGATAATATTGTAGTGTTTTGGTAGCCCGGACTCTGCCTGTCTACCCACAACCTCACTCATATTTCAGCATTTTTTTATGTAGACTTTTAATGTTCCAGTCAACCTCTTATTGTTGCTCCCAAATGTAATGTCATATATGATTATAATAAACAATATGTAGTAAAGCCCCAGTTTTTCCACCTTCCACAGTACAACATAACCATTAAGGAAACATATCTCATAAAGAATTGAAAAATTATTAATAATTGGAATTATGCTAAAAGTTCAACTGGGAAAAACAACAAATATCGTGCAATTTTAAAATACTGAATAAACGGAATTTTTGTTACAAAACTGTCACTCAAAAAAACATTAAGATTATGTTCAGAATTGAAATAAAAGTGATAGGTTTGAGTCCGTTCTGGCCCGAAACATCGTCACCTGTGTCATGTCATGTCACCCGTGTCATGTCATGTCACCCGTGCCATGTCATGTCACCCGTGTCATGTCATGTCACCCGTGTCATGTCACCCGTGTCATGTCATGTCACCCGTGCCATGTCATGTCACCCGTGTCATGTCATGTCACCCGTGCCATGTCATGTCACCCGTGCCATGTCATGTCACCCGTGTCATGTCATGTCACCCATGTCATGTCACCCGTGCCATGTCATGTCACCCGTGTCATGTCATGTGTGTTGGATTGTTTGTCTACTGGGCCGTTACTGTGCTCTAGTCTCTGTCGTGAAGAACAGTGATACTTTTATACTAATACTAATACTAATGTTTATTGAAAAGAATGTGTTGTTAATATCAAGGACCATAAGAGTAATGCACACGTGTAGGGGCAGGAGTTACACGTAGTAATGAAGCCATTATTACGCTAAGCGTTCGGCCGTTTGAAAATTATTTAACCTTTTTGAGACAAAAATGTCTTTACAACATGTGCAAGACTAAACAAAAGACTGAAGAGAGATCTTCGAATATTACGTATGAACAATGCTGAAAACTTTCTTAAAAGAAACGAGTATTATCATCTTTCACAACAGTGTGTGTGTGTATATATATATATATATATATATATATATATATATATATATATATATATATATATATATATATATATATATATATAATATATATATATATATATATATATATATATATATATATATATATATATATATATATATATATATATATATATATATATATATATATATATATATATATATATATATATATATATATATATATATATATATATATATATATATATATATATATATATATATATATATATATATATATTAAAATGCATAACGTTTCGAATACTTCTCGTATTCATCATCAGATCTAAAAGAAAAAACAGAAATCACAATCAAATAGCTGGTAAACAAAGAACTCATACTGAATATAATTGCCTATCAAAGAAAGGAAAATGCTTAAAAAACAAAACACTTAAGCGCACTTAAAGTGATCAATACAAATAAAACTTATTAACTGTCACATATATTAAAGCTAATTTAAAAATCCATTAAAATACAAGATGAATTTTATAACTGCTAAAACAAACCATTCTATTAAACTTACGTGAAGTGATCAGAAGTGAAACTTGATACCTAACACATAGATACTAAACACTATAACAAATATTTATATAATGACTACAAATCTACAATAAATGTATGTAAAATACAAACAGAATAAACGACAATTATAAAGTACTAACCAAAATCTTATAAAAAAACTCAAATATTAAATAAAATTAAATACCAAAAAATGTATTATATATCCTAAATAAAAGATTATATTAATGTACAATGTCAAGACTTGAAATAAGTAAGAAAGGGCAAAGACATGGTAAACTAAACAAAATTATAATAAAATTAAACTACCAAAATGAACTATAAATCAAATTACAGGGCCTACTGTGCACTATACAGTGTACAATTGAACAGCTGAAAGGTTGCTATTTAACAGAGGCCGCAGCTCCTTTATATATAAGGATTCCATTACTCTCAAATCTGACTGGCCATTCATACAAGTGTCCAGAATTTTAAAATCAGATTCCAGCAGAGAATGATCAAACTCATAACAATGGTTTCTAATCTCCGAAAATGCTGGTTTAGACAATGGTAATCCAGTCCTAAAAGATAATCCCCGGTGCTCAAGTATCCTAATCTTAAAGTTCCGAATGGAACTCCCGATATATCCAGCATTACAGCTGGAACAATTATACATATATACGACATTTGAGCACAAGGGGGTAGGCACTTTATCTTTAAATTTAAAATAAGAGCCTATGGTATTTGTGTTGACAAAAATAAATCTAAAGTCTACTTGAGGATAACACTGCTGCAACAGTCTCCTCAAACGACTCCTTACAGAAAAGCTAATACTGCCATAAAATGGTAATTTAATATATTTAAGATCCCTTTCCACTGTAGTAATCCTACACGATGGGTGAAACTTCTTATTTAAGAAATTCCTTATAAAGGTATAAACCATATGCAAAGGATAACCATTATTTGAAAAAAAATTCACAAGAAAATTAATTTCTTGATCAAAGTTATTCCAATTAGAACATAAAACAAAGGCCCTATTCAGTAGAGTGTTAATTGCATTTTTCTTAAAAATATCAGGAACAAAAGAATTAAAATTTAAACCTAAACCAGTAAAAGTTGGTTTCCTAAAAACATTAGTGTTGAACCCATTAAGGTTATTCACTTTTACACCATCACTTTTTCATTGTCGTTTCTTGATGAAATCCCGTCCTCTGTTATACAAATGCTAAAGTCTATGGAATTGGAACTAAACATTTCACAATCACACTTAATGAAGGAAGGGCAGTGGGACCGTGGTGCCCCTTCAAGGGGGAAGGGGGCACAGGGCCGACCCCGACCCCCACCTCACCCCCTGATATAATCACCGTTAATCGTCCAAATTATCTGGACTCCAGCCAGCCTCATGGATCTTTCTCATCGACACAGCTAAAATGTTCACGATATCAAAGAAATGAGTGAAATACTAGGAACACAGTATGAATGTTTTCACTGAACCCTACACACACTGGGACACATCATACAGCGCCACGGCCACCAGTGCCACGGTCACCAGAACCACGGCCACCAGTGCCACGGTCACCAGAGCCACTGACATTTGTGGTTGCCCAAGAATCCTAAACGACGATCCTCTTGCCACTGCAAAGGTAGGAGGAAAGTGGACTCTACATTTGAGGCTGGAGATCAAATCACAGGAAGGTGGGCTGAGCTAGTGGAGTGAGGGAGGCCACTGTGGGAGATTCTTTACCTCACCTCTCAATACTGTCATTCCCAGAGACCCCGCACTGTGAGGACGCCCTCACGACCCCTCACGACCACCACCCAGTCCTCCCCCCCCCCCATACAGGAAGCCCAAGCACTGCTGAACCAGGTAAGCATACTGAGGACGCTGATAGCTGAGTGGACAGCTCTTCGGATTCGCTGTCCTGATGTACTGTGAGCCCTTTGAGGGACCATATATAGACGAGGTGGTGTTGTCGTCGTTGATCCTTCTCTATGGACAACCCAACCCACAACTCGGTAGAGTGCTTATACTAGGAGATCACCCTTGGCGCTTCTGGCTCTTGGAGAGGGGCTCAACGTCACACGTTTAGGGGATGTGGCTCCAACACTTAGCCTCGTTGTCACGTGCACACACCCACTCGAGCCGCAGTGACTCCCCACTCTCTCCTCAGGTAATATGATCTCCTCGATCCCCTTTTGGCTTATTAGTATTACCTCCTACCCTGTCCACAGCAGTGGTTCTTGGTTCTTCTCTCTCTCTCTCCTTCTTTACTACCTCCTGGGAAGCCTCACTAGGACAAGGGCAAACACCAGCAAATTGTGATACATTTACTGGACAGAGCACATACACGATACATACACACATATAATAATAATGAATCCTATACTCTATATATCACAATCAGGTTGCACTCCCACATCATCAGAACTCTATTATCAGCTTATCAAGTGGTATCCTATCTCCTGGTTCACCACCTGATACTATCAACCTCCTCAAGTTGATCAAGTCTACATACACTGTTGCACCATCAGCAAGATAATATATATATAGAAAATCAGCACTTGAATGCAATAACATATATCAGTATAAATGTTCATTGATACACGACAATGATCAATCGATCACTCTGTCAGTCCTAGAACACATACGACTGTAGATAATCCAGCCTACGACTGTAACTCTAAACTTCAGTATAAAAACACTCCTTGACACAAGAATGCAAACAGTCACTCACCTCTCACTGCGTCTTGCACGCTAATGACAACCAAACACTATCAACTCCCTACAAGTAATCCACCAGAACTTCCCCTTCCACCTCTGGAAGTTCACTACCCTAATATCCTTAGGTTCTTCCGGGCTTCACTACCAGGATCCTCTGCAGCTCCTCCAGGCTGCTATCATGAAGTTTCCTTGAGCAACTACGGTGCTTCACCCTTCTGCTAGGGTCCTCCACAGCTCTCTTTAAGCGCACTTAAAGTGATCAATACAAATAAAACTTATTAACTGTCACATATATTAAAGCTAATTTAAAAATCCATTAAACTACAAGATGAATTTTATAACTACTAAAACAAACCATTCTATTAAACTTACGTGAAGTGATCAGAAGTGAAACTTGATACCTAACACATAGATACTAAACACTATAACAAATATTTATATAATGACTACAAATCTACAAAAAATGTAGAAAGGTTGCTATTCAACAGAGGCCGCAGCTCCTTTATATATAAGGATTCCATTACTCTCAAATCTGACTGGCCATTCATACAAGTGTCCAGAATTTTAAAATCAGATTCCAGCAGAGAATGATCAAACTCATAACAATGGTTTTTAATCTCCGAAAATGCTGGTTTAGACAATGGTAATCCAGTCCTAAAAGATAATCCCCGGTGCTCAAGTATCCTAATCTTAAAGTTCCGAATGGAACTCCCGATATATCCAGCATTACAGCTGGAACAATTATACATATATACGACATTTGAGCACAAGGGGGTAGGCACTTTATCTTTAAATTTAAAATAAGAGCCTATGATATTTGTGTTGACAAAAATAAATCTAAAGTCTACTTGAGGATAACACTGCTGCAACAGTCTCCTCAAACGACTCCTTACAGA